TCTGAGATGTGAGGTGGGGTGAAGATGTGGACGGGAAGTGAAAAACCAGCAGAGACCTGAGAGATGATCATGAAGAATAAAAGCTAAAGAGCAAAACTAAAACTTAACCTAAAAACTGAACAAAAAAGCTTAAATTAGCTGAAGTTTAAAGCTAAATTAAGAAAAACTAAACCTAAAACAAGCTGAATCATATCTAATAAAAGACACCAACTACAGAGTAGCTAACAACTAAAAATAGCAAACAGCTGCTAATGGTTAAAATGATCAAAACTCTAAAAACTACACCACAACATTAGCTAAAAATAAAACCAGAACAGTTAAAAGTTAAATTATCAGAACAGTAGTGAAATGCTGAAACTAGCAAACAGCAGCTACAGGTTAAAATGATCAAAACAGTAACTAAAAGCTATAAAAACTACACCGAAACATCAGCTGAAAATAAAACTAGAACAGTACCCAAAAGCTAAAGTTATCAGAATAGTAAGTAAAAGCTAAAACTAGCAAACACCAGCTACAAGTTTATATTAACAAAACAGCAGCAAAGAGCAAAAACAGCAGGGCGGTGTCAAAATCCTAAAACTAAAGGAAATGTGGCCAAAAAGCTAAAACAAATAGCAGCAACTAAATATAAAAACTAGCAAAACAGCAGCTAAAAGCAGACGCGAGAAAAATCAAGTCAAAAACAAGTTTACTAAAGATCTCAAAAGCAATTTGACCTTTTTTAGCTTTTAGATAGCATCTTACTACTTTAGTTTTAGTCAGTGTTTTGTTTTAGGTTAAATGAGCTGATTTCAGCCTCTTCAGCTGATTTCAGCAGTCATTCAGCTGATTCCAGCTTCTTCAGCTGATTCCAGTCTCTTCAGCTGATTTCAGCCTCTTCAGCTGATTTCAGCAGTCATTCAGCTGATTTCGGTCTCTTCAGCTGATTCCGGCCTCTTCAGCTGATTTCAGCCTCTTCAGCTGATTTCGGTCTCTTCAGCTGATTCCGGCCTCTTCAGCTGATTCCAGCCTCTTCAGCTGATTCCAGCCTCTTCAGCTGATTCCAGCCTCTTCAGCTGATTTCAGCCTCTTCAGCTGATTCCAGCCTCTTCAGCTGATTCCAGCCTCTTCAGCTGATTTCAGCCTCTTCAGCTGATTTCAGCCTCTTCAGCTGATTTCAGCAGTCATTCAGCTGATTTCAGCAGTCATTCAGCTGATTTTGGTCTCTTCAGCTGATTCCGGCCTCTTCAGCTGATTTCAGCCTCTTCAGCTGATTTCAGCAGTCATTCAGCTTATTTCAGCAGTCATTCAGCTGATTTTGGTCTCTTCAGCTGATTCCGGCCTCTTCAGCTGAGTCAAGCCTCTTCAGCTGATTCCAGCCTCTTCAGCTGATTTCAGCCTCTTCAGCTGATTCCGGCCTCTTCAGCTGATTCCGGCCTCTTCAGCTGATTTCAGCAGTCATTCAGCTGATT